TGGTATCTGCCCCCTGGTGGATGAGGCTGAACTAGAGGCTTATGCAGGTTTCCTGGTAGGAGGAGCTGGTGCCTGCGCACTGCTGGTGAAGCTTGATCCTGGACCTCTGGTGGGTAGGGCCCTGTTTAGAGGCTTAGGAAGTCTGCTGATGGCTAGGGCTGTGTTCCCACCAGTATGTTTGTTGTTTGACCTGAGGCTTCCCTTACAGGCTGTTGGGTGGGGCTAGGTCTTGGTGCTAAAGATCCAATCAAGATGTCAGCCTCCAGGAAAGCTCATGTAGATGAACACTCCGGGAATGTCCACCACCAGCTTTTCTGTCTCCTGGATGAGCTGCAGCCGCCCCCTACATCCCCAGGAGACCTTCTAAAACCAGCAGGCAGGTCTGGCCCAGGTTCTTTTCACATCAGTGCCTCTGCCCTTGGACTTGCACAATCAAGATTCTGTGTATGCTTCATAAGAGAATGAAGTCTCTGTTTCCCCAAGTCCTGTGGGGCTTCTGGAGCTAAGCCCCGCTGGCCTTCAAAACCATGTGTCCTGGGGTCTCCTCCTCCCAAAGCCATAACCCCAGGCTTGGGGAGCCTGACGTGGGACTTAGAACTCTCTCTCCTGTGGGAGGGCTTCTGCTACTTAATTATTCTTCAGCTGTGGGTCGCCCCTCCACCCCCCGACCAGGGGTATGGGGCCCAATTATATTGCGAGCACGCCCCTCCTACCATCCCGCTGTGGTTTCCTCTTTATGTTTCCAGTTGAAGATCTTTTTTGCTAGGTTCTAGTCTTTTTTTCAGCGGTTGTTTAGCAGTCGGTTGTGGTTTCGTTGTAGTCTCAAGGAGAGACGAGCTCGTGGTCCTACTACTGTGCCATCTTGACCAGAAAAATACTCATTCATTCTTTTTAGCAGTTTGTCACTTTGTTGGCCTGCTGTTGCCAGACAATGCCCAGGGAGAAATGGACAAACGGATTTTGGAGTTAAGTAATCTTTATGCGATGGTACATTTTTTTGAATTGCTAATACTCTTGGAGTTAGTAATACGAGTCACCAGCCCCTTAGTAAAAGAATATAGATTTCTTCAGCAGTAAACCAGAGGATAGCTAAAAGAAACGACTGTCTTTTGCATGACTGGGAATAAGGTAGAGGTTGGCGATGTCAGGAAGTAAAATGCCCTGGCACTTTTCTAGTTTCATGATTTTTTTTAACCTATAATTGTGTTTTATAGAAACTAGAAATTCTTTAATTTCCCTTTATATCTTACGCTCTTCAAAATCTGAAGTAAATTAACCTCAAGAACCCTTGTACCACTAGCATCTTTTAAATTGTAAAGCTACCAGAAACATTCTTGACCCTCTTATTTCTGTATAGTTTTAATGTTACTGCTACAAAAGTTGACAGTGAAAATTAATTCATCACCACCTGAAATTGTCATGTTCAGGTCTTATTTGCATTTACTTGTTTACTGTACCTTATTTACTTTGAGAGGTTATTAAATCATAAGTTTGGGTTTGATATCACTCTTTTGTTGTTGACTTTTGAGAATAGTTCTTACTGTTTTTTCCCTGAGGATGAAATACTTTAAAGCTGACTTCAGAAACCATTTGCTTTCGACAGGTGTGATGCATAGAAATACGGAGTGGTGGAGATACTTGTTTAAAGCAGTAATTAAGTCAGACATAAGGGATATAGTCCCTTCTCTTACTGCTGCTGGAAAACATTTTCTTGCAACTATTCTAGATCATATTTCTGACTGGAGCAAAATGTAGCAATTCTGGATGCTTAGGAATTGAAGAGCAAACCTAATAAAACAAGAATTGTGTATTTATCTTCAGTGTACTCTGAAAAGCCTCAGAGATGGGCCATACTTTTGATTACTTGATTCATATGATCATTTCAGTAATTAAATGTGCAAAAATCTGTATTAATTGAATTATTTGTTGCAGTCTTAGAAATTTTTGTTGTAGTTTATAGTTGGTGGGGAAGAAGAGAGAATTTCAGAACTTGTGGAAAAAATGCTTTTCACTCATTCAGAAATTCATTTTGTACTATTTCATCAATGTATATACTATGTAACATGCATATTGTGTAACATGAAATTTTCCACCTTATAAAATAATAGTGGTTTTTCTTTTTTATTATTTCTATTTGTTATAAAACTATTATTTGAAATTCTTTTGGCAGAGAGAGGTTTCTAATCTTCCTGTTTGTCTTGTGACTTTGCTCACAGTGCATTGTTTCTTTGTATATTTTATGTTTGTTTTATGAACTTATCTTCAGCTAGACTTTTCTGGATGTAGATTGAGGGCAAGACCTCCCAAAGTAGGTTTTTGTTTATTTATTACCACATGTCTTGGGAAAAGCATTAGCTGGAACTTAATCTGAACCTAATGTCCTAAACCTATACTTTCATACCCCAAGCAAAGTGTAAAGCCATTCCCTGTATATGCAGATTTTCAGGATGGTAGCAGTCTCTCTCCACCTAGTTGAAACCAAACATCCTTCTTTGTTATCATTCTGTGTTTGTCCACTGGTTTATTTTGTTCTGTGTCTTGCTTTAGCTTCCTTTTCACTGAAGCTGTCATTCTGTTAGGAGTCTCAGGGCTTTTTTGTGAGAATCCTAGTTTCAAGTCCTTACTCTGTAGGGATCCAGGATTTCATATCTGCCATATAGATGTTAAAATGTAAACTCCTTGATTATAGAGACTGGCACAGCATCCTATATCCCCAGTAGTGTAGTAGCTACAGTGGAAGCAGCAACTGACCTTGTTTATGTGGCTTCCAAGAGTGTCTTATATTCTTGTAGGCTCAGCTAAAGTTGAGGGCTGGTTTCCAGTTTCTGTAGGTTGCAAGATGAGAGATTCATTTCTCTAATGGAGATATGATTGTATGTTTTGGGAGATGTTAGTAAAATTCTGATTCATTCAACTAATTGAATTGCTGTTTTTGCTTTTGATTTACTTCAGTATAAAACAAGCATAGTTTAATTCAGGAAAAATATTTTAATAATAATTCAATTTATTCTCATCTGTGAATTTTGAAAGTACTGTAAAAGAAATAAAACATAAGTAAGCAGAAAACCAAGGAGATAAAATAAAGTCTTTCAGTTTGTGTAGACTAACCTGGAAAAGACTCATTTTTAAAACCGTAATCGAAAGGTCAGCATCAGGAATATGGAGTTTGAAATTTATTCTTGCCTTTGCTTGACTTATATCTCCTAAGAATTATTTGAAATATCCCTGGAAGATTTAGTTGCTGGGACTGAAAATGGGTCACCAGTGGCTTGAGTGTCCCACAAGCCCAGTCCTTCCCTTAATGTGCACCGCTGTAGTTCAGCTTCTCATACTCCTCTGGAGGACTACGTCTGGAACCTTGTGAGTAGAACTTCTTCCGTGTTCCTGGTTCCATGTTATCTGTCAACACTAGCAGAGCAATACTTAAAAGAATGAGGCTTGAGTCTGAATAATCCTTAGAGATAAGTAAATTAAAATGTCTGAATTTCCCCACCTTGTTTACAAAAATGTTTTCAACAAAGCTGTCTAAAAATTACATTTCTGCTATGTCATTCCTATTGTCTTTTAGCTTTTGGAAGTGAAATCTGAAGCGTTCTCCAAAGAATACTGGTGGTAGGTCAAATTCTGTCAATATTTGTCTGTTTTGGAATGAGTCCAGACACCTGATGGTGGAACTTAGCAACAGGCTCATGTGTCAGGCCTCTGGCAAGCACCTTACAGAGTTCAAATGGTATATACTTCCCCACTATTTAAATAGTTTATTTCTTTGCAACGTGAGCCTTGATGTTTCATTCATTGGATATTAGTTAACTTAGTTACCGATATCTACATGAATAGAGTAGATTCTTTGTTCAGAATTTAGCCCCCTTCGCCCCAAACTTAGTAATTAATATGCCTCCAGAAGAAACCATTCATTGTACTTACTTTCTTCTAGATGGGGTAATCCAGACAGTGTAGGGAATTGCTGCTCTCCTTCAGGCAAGCGTAGTCTTGCTAAAAGCTTTCTCTTCAGTATCCATCTTCACCTTGTATACAGTCCTCTTGAGAACAGTTTCCAATATCTTTGATAAGGTAATTTTCACTACTAATGTAGAAAAATGTCCAAAATGTTTTCCATTCAAGATGTCTTTTCTCCATTTTCTACTGTTATATTAATAGTACTTGGTAATTTAGTTGCAATCATAATAAAATCTTTTTTATGTTTACAAGGCCTTTTCTCAGGCATCTCAAGCAGATTAGTCTTATGATTTAAAGATTATTTTTTACTTTCTGGGATATGATTATTTCTATTTTGCTGATAACAGAGATAAGCCATGGAGGTAAATTGGGTTTCTCAGGGTCACAGGAAGAGTTACAACCCAAGCCTTCCTTTACTTCACATTTATATTATTCTTTCTACCATGCTTTTAACATTGACATAAAGCTCTTATAACATTTTTAGGATTTAGAGAATATGCTTAATGCATGTTCAAAGGGAATTGTGAAAGCCCACTTGTTTCAGTCACAAATAGTTAATGAGGGTCTACCATGTTCTACATTGTTGTGGACCCTTGAGATTCATCAGTGAAGAATCCAGTGATCCCTGCCGTAGTTGTATATTAGAAAGTTTTAAGTGCTATAAAAATAATCCATCAGGGAAAGGAATGCTGGAGGGGCAGTAGGTTGTAGTATTTAAATAACATGATTAGAATTTAGGGCTCTATAAAAGATGAGATTTGAACAAAGATGGAGAAGGATGATTATCTGAGCTACACTCTTACCCAAATTCTGTAATTTTTCCTGTTCCTTTTTCCTTTAGACAAACAATGCTATAGCCTATCTCCTCTATTCTTAAATTTCAGTAGGCAGAGCACAAGATTACACCACTGTGAATGTGACTCTACAAACATGCGTTTTCCACCAACAGCCGTTCCTTTTATGAATTTCCTATTGTAAAATCCTGTACTCAGTCCAACCCTCCTCACCCTCAGCAGATGACCTTGTTTCTGTCTTTTAGAAAACTAAGTGCACTGAGTCTGCCTTTTTCAACCTTCTGCCAGAGCTACAAACCTGTCACTATCCAAACTTTCATCACAGTTTCTTAGCTTTCGCCTTGCTGTTTTATTCACCACCTTTCCATAGACTTCTCATTATAAATATGCTGAAGTCTCTCTCATACCACACATACTCCTTCAGTGTTATATGTCCATTTAGCTACCATTTACACTCATTCTTTCTCTTATCTAAACCTCTCAAGAATAGTGTACCATTTCTGCTTCTACTGTGTTCACTGTTACTAATACAGTCTTTTATGGGGGGGAGGGGGTAATTTGTTTTATTTATCTATTTGTTTGTTTTTAGAGGAGGTACTGGGAAATGAACCCAGGACCTCCTACATGCAAAGCACACACTCTACCACTTGAGTTATACTCTCCCCCCTTAATATAGTCTTGATTTATGCTCCCAACGTGCTATATTATTGGTCGTTTTACCACTATTAATACTGTTGATTACCCTCTATTTTCTTCTTTTTTAGTTAGATTTACTGAGTATAATTTATGTGTTGTGAAATTCATTAATTTTAACATTCATTTCTGTCAATTTTCACAGGCGTGTAAAGTCATGTAACCACCACCACAATCAAAATATAGAACAGTTTCACCACCCAAAAAATTCCCTCATATTTAGATCATGTTTTAATTCTGTTTCTATTCAACACATTCTTCACAGATAATTTCATCTACTCTAATGGTAGATGACTCCAATGTATATGCTAATGAATTCTATTTTTTATCTCCATCCCAGCTTCTCTTCTGAGTTTCAGTCTTATATTTCCAGTTGCCTGCTGAATATCTCCACTTGGAAATCCCAGAGTAATCTCAGATTCAACATACCTAATACCAAACTAACCACCTATTCCCCTAAACCTGTTCTTTTATATCAGTTAGTGGCACTGGCTTTAATTAAGCTAAAATCCTGAAGCCACTGTTGATGGGCTTCTTCCTTGAGTCACTCCTTTCATGTACAGTCATTTAACAAGACTCTAATTTTTACATAATACAGTGTTGAATTTGTCACCTGCCCTCCATTTCTTCTACCGCTGCCTTAGATCTGCACTTTTGGATGGATACCTCTCATTTCACTGTCTCCAGCTTTGGGCCCCTTCAGGTTCATTCTTTCCCTTGCAGTCATCTCTTTAACACAGAGATCTGGACTTTTCACTCCTCTTTCATGTCTCTGCTCAAACCCTTCAGAGTGATGGATGGCAGTAGTGGGCATTCACTCTCAAGAGGAAATCAAAGCTTCTCACTTTTTACTATAATATTTTCTTGTTACATTTAGTTATAGTAGCAATCTTCCAAATATATATGCATAGGATCTGAATATAACTTTTCGTGTATTTGGTTAGTCTGAACAGCAGCAGTAAAGTATAGTGGTCAAGATCAAGGGAACAGTCAGACACTCCTGAGTCTTAGCCTTTCCCTTTGTCTGTCTCTGTAATCTTGAGTTCCTTAACCTCTAAATCTGTTTTCTCATCCAGAAAAGGAAGATAATAGTATTTACTTCATGAATTTGTAGTGATGGTGAAATGTAATATATGTAAAGCACTTAGCATAGTGTTTGACACATAATAAGCACTCTATAAATGTTAAATATTAATTATTCTGTTTTCAGCTAGTATTAAGGGCCGAAATATTCCCTTTGAAGTATACTAGTATTACAGAGAGCAAATGGGTGTCATGATCTCTGCCCTTAGGAATTTACATTCTAAAGGAGAGAATCTTAGGAAGAGGATTTCATCTGAAAATTTTTAATTAACTACTAGGCCGTAGATGGTAGAAAATCCCTTAGAATAGTCCCTATATGCATGTATAATTTTGACTAAAGGATTTGTACTGTTATGTCACTTAATTTTCACAATGGTCAGACACATCTCAGTGACCACTGCTGTCATTTGGAAGGGAGAAATTCTGCTTAGAACATGAGTTTTAAGGAGAGTCTGTACCATTGAAAACCTTAAGAAGCATCCATTAGAGGGTACTAATAACATTATTATTTTCCTCCTTAGGTCAGGAATAGAAGATTAGGAAGAAAGGCAAGAGAAAACAGAAAGATTGGGGAAAAATAAATAGGACAGCCCCAAAGCAGAAATAACCCAAATGTTCATCAACTAATGAATGGATAAACAAACATGCTATGCGTATATCTATATAAAATATGGAATATTATTCAGTCATGAAAAGGAATGAAGTATTGATAAATGCTACAACATGGATGAACCTTGAAAATATTACACTAAGTGGAAAAGTCACAGGAGATCACATATTGTATGATTCCATTTGTATTAAATGTCCAGAATAGGCAAATTCCTAGAGATAGAAGGTAGATTAGTAGTTGTCAAGGGTTCAGGAGAATGATGAGGGAGTGCTAATGGATATGAGGTTCCTTTTGGAGGTGGGGAAATGTTCTGAAGTTTGACAGTGGTGATGGTTGCACAGTTCTATGAATACGCTCTTGTGAGCTATAGGCGTATCTCTTTATAATACACTTCACTTTATTGCACTTTGCGGATACTGGTTTTTACAAATGGAAGGTTTGTGGCAACCCTGTGTCAGGCAAGTCTGTTGTGCTATTTTCTCAACAGCATTTGCTCATTTCATGTCTATGTGTCACATTTTGGCAATTCTCACAATATTTCAAACTTTTTCATGATTATTATATTTGCTACAGTGATCTGTGGTCAGTGATCTTTCATGTTACTATTGTAATTGTTTTCAGGCGCCACTAATGACACCCATTATAAGCAGGTGAACTTAATCCATAAATGTTGTTTGTGTTCCAACTGTTCTGCTGACCCATCTCTCTCCCTCTCCCATGGACTCCCTGTTCCCTGAGATGCAGTAATATTGAAATTAGGCCAATTAATAACCCTGCAGTGGCTTCCAAGTTTTCAAGTGAAAGGAAGAGTCTCGTCTCTCTCACTTTAAATCAAAAACTAGAAATGAGTAAGCTTAGTGAGGAAGGCAT